AACAAAGGAACCCGCATGCTTCCTATTTCTCTTGACGCAAACAAACACCCCACTCGACATGGTCTTCGTAGTCCTGGGCCATGGAGTCAACAGTCGCGCCCTCGAAATAGGTCCTAATCTCCCTGCGCGTCGAATATCGGAAACGGTGGTGGCATGGGCGGGCAGGGCAAACGATCGGGGTGGCTACAAGACACGTCAACCTGCCTTGCAAAGGAAGAAAAGAACAAAGGATCAACATACTCGGCGCGAACACCTGCTTCTCGTCATCCCCCTCCTCTTCCATATCTACCCCCTTCTTGGCGACGACGACCTCCTCTCTGACCGAAGCTGGGGCTGACGGTGGCTGCTGCGCAGGGTAATACGAGGCATAAGGCACAGGGACGCCGTAGTAGCCGTAGGGCACGTAAGGCCACGCGTATGGCTGCGGGTATTGCTGTCCACCAGAGAGTCGAGGGTCGTATCCTGGGAAGACTCCATACATAGATACGAGCGCCGGTGGCTCTGAAGGGGCGCGGGAACTCTCGGAGGAGGCGCGTGGGGTAATCGTGCGGTGTTTCCTTGTGATCGAGGGAGCGGGAAGCTCGTCGTCGGGTAGTGGTGGAGAATTAGAGTCGCGATTAGACATCGATGTGCGAGGGAAGAACCGTGGGGAAGCGGATTTTCTCTTCCTCACGCGCTATCATTACATTAGTAACGACAATGAAAGATAAAGAGACAAGCGTACCTTTGGCACAACCTCCCCCCTCCCCTCCCGGACCCCCTTACACAAATCACGATGTTTCGCCCACAGCCCTGCATAAAACTCATTTCTTTGATCGAGTTTAATCCAACGCCTACACCCTCCACACTTTACGACCGTCGAGCGCACCTCCAATGTCCAGGGATCCGCCATCAAGGCCCGTCTGCGCTCTTCCGCGTCCATGCAGTTCTTGCGCTTCCGGGCCTGAGGGCGCGGTATTTTGGGCTCTCCGGGGAGACGCTTTCGACGACCACGAGTTTTGGGGACGGGTGGAAACGGTGCGATGGGACGATCAGATGGGGTGAGGGCGGGAGACGTGGGCTGGAAGTAAGGGCGTGAGGTTACTTTTGAGGTGGCTTATCGAGTTATAGAAGATTACTTACTGTAACAGTAGTGGTTTTTGTTCGTCGGGCCATGTTTGAAGACGATGGAGGGGATACAAGGTGGAAGGACGGAATGTGGCTGGGGAACGTGGAGGTATGAAAGGAAGAAAGCGGGAACTAAACAAAAACTGCTCAGTTAAATCAAGCGGAGATGTGGCCGCTGAGTTTTTTTATCTTGATGGAGCATGTGTTTTCGTTCATTTTTGATCCCTAGGCTTTGATGGCCCGATTTGGATCCGATTGTTATTCGCTTGCCACCCCCACTTGACCCCCACTCACTTATAAATCTCGATGCAATATTGATGACTGACGTGTCAGTGAGCCGCTTATCCTGGAAAGTAAACCAACGTGAGTTCGAAATTGCTTGCATATGCACCGAACTAACAGCCTCACGAGGATACAGAATTTGAAACTTCCTATGAAACCGTCAGCGATCGCAGCCGATCAGTGTGGCCATGTGGCCTCCAACGTCAAAGCCTGCTGGGATCCTTCTGTCGTCCTCCTGATTCCCAGATACCATCTGCCGATCTCTACATATATTTCTCGTACGTTACCGCAGCTTGATGATGCCACACTATTTACGTCTAATTTGATCTTTCTCTGGTCCAATACAGTACTTACGGGTGCGTGGACGGGCCTGTCAGTGCATGGATCATGGGCACCACAACACGCGCATAATGTTAGGCGTGCTCCGAAGGGTTCTAACCAATAGCTTGACCATAAATCCACAACCTCAGGCCTCATGGACGACCACGAGTTCGTCTCGAGCCATCCGACTCGGACTTCATTGTCCGATTACGTCCGTGCTACCCTGAGCACGAGTGGCGAGCCCTGCATCTTAATTGGCCGTAAATTGAACTTTGATATTGTGAGTACTTTACCCCTTTACGCTTGTTTCCCTCCCGGTCGGTGGGCGTCCAACTATGTCGCCACGGGATGCATATTATGTATCCTGTCAATACTTACTAGTTTCAGCCTCACGCTCATACGTTTATCGTAAGTTGTGTGCTCTTCGGATGCCATGATCTGGCGTGCCCATTTCTTCCTGCATGCGTAAGTCGCGATCGTTCGTGCTCGGCCGTGTCGCTCACGACATTCCCGAGTTTGCATTTTTCCTTGTAGGTATTTATGGTCAGATCTCGCACGGTTCCCGCGATATGACGTTATAAGGTACCTTCACTTCCTTCCAGATGGAAATGTACATCATTGGCCAATGCGTAGAGATTTCATTTCCCGGTACTCGAGGACGCGGTCACACTCATATATTCTCCGCGCTCGGCCTTGATTCTTGGACACAACAGGTATCCGAAGTACCGCAATGACGATGTCGTACACTGTTCAGCGATGCTGAGGGTAAGATTCTCCACCCTGCACATAATATCCAATTGCCCTCGTCGACTCGCATACAACATTTGTATAAACAGTCTCTCCTGATTCTTACCATCCTGGGTTCGCCTTTAGAGATAGTATGAACCATGTGCAGGTAAGACAGTTTCTTTACATAGTGGCCCTCACAGTAGTGCTCATGTTATAGATTGGGTGGTCCTCCAAGTCAGGCGTCACCTGGATAGCCCCCGGGTGGCGAGCAATGGATAGAAGGGTAATTTCGACGACGCTGAGCTCACATTTGCGTAGGTCTAGTATGTCTTTGGATACGTCCCTTCGTCGTTGCCTGTTTGAATGCTTGATTGCCCTCACACTAGTTGGTGAGGTATATCTGTATGAATAAACACGAATATCCTTTTGGGTTGTTCCCTATGGGTTCAAAGCCTGTACTGACTGTCATCTAAAGGGAAGCTAGTAAAACCAGTAGTCGTTCATTGTAATCGTTACTTTCGATGTCCCGACCAGCCCTGGGAGCCAATGTAGAATGTTGCCCCTGACAATTTCCCTCTGCCGTAGTGCCCCTTCGAGAAAGGCTATTTGTATCGTCAGGCCCGTAAACAACTTGTACCGGGGATGCGCAAGTGCAGCATCAAGACGTCCCCACAAGTCAAGCGGGATAAAGTAGGCCATAGAGACCGGATCCTCAAGGATGAAGTTCAACTTTACTGCTCGGAGTTTGCGGTGTGACGCGTCGCTTCCGTCCTCCAACATTGTCAGTACGCCAAGGAAGGTCCTACACGCCATCTCGCTGATGTTGCTGCCTGGCCACATCATCTGTGATATCGAGAACTCCTCGAGGGCAGGAAAATCCACTGGCAGATCGAATTGGGCTATATGATTTGGGTGAGGCTGCATCCTTGACAATTAATTTCAGGAGCAACATGTACCATGCGCAGGATGAAAGTATTTGGTTTTTATATCGAACCGAACAAGCGACGCTCGAGAGCCATGAAGGAGCTCCACTACAATTCTGGTGGGTACGTTGTGTGAGGAAAGTGACTTGATCAGGGGCGGAGGCGTGTCGAAAATTGGTAAGTAAGAGCCGTGATCAATGATTAGCTCCTCGAGCTGATGAACGGCCGTGTCAACAGTATCGAATGGAAGGGGCGGAGTGTCTGTGAAGGTTTGGCGCAGGTCTCGCCGGAGCGGGTCTTGTGGTGTCCGGATCTCAAGACGACGCAGCTGCTTGCATGCAGCGATGAGCCTCATTGGCAGGTTGTGCACTCCACGACATTGCAGATCAACGACAGTCCTACAACGTATACGGAATGCGCTCTCCACTGGATCAGGAAGATCTGAGAAGGACTCTGGTTCGCCGCTCATGGAATCGAGGTGGAGGGACTCGAGGTTTGAGACTAGCAAGATGATTGACATGAGATGGCCAGGCTCCTGCGCTTGTGCGGGTCTCGTACTGTAAGCAAGAAGGATATTCAATCTCTTCACGTAGGCCGCAAGATCGGGATGATTTATTAAGACGGATGATAGACGAGCGCATGAGAGTTTCGAATCGAGTGATATATCAGCAAAGAGGTGCCGTTGAATCTGAGAAACAAGTGCAGGAGTGATGAAGGTGCAGGCTCGCAACGCCTCTCGAGATGTAGGGCTGTTTTCATCAATGAGAACATGGATGATAAGTTCGATAACATCCTGTGGTACGGGGATCACAGACATCTGGGACAACCTAAGGCTGGCAGATTGGGCAAGCACGGCGGTGATTCTGTTGGGAAGACAATCGTCGTTGTTATCAGTTTACCACGTGCTATATCCTATGTCCGCGGAATTGATACTCAAGCTCAAATATTCTATTTCAGTCAATATCTCTCTATATCAAGGGTTCAGCACTAGCGCTCAGCTGCTAATGCTCATCCACAGTTCTGCTTACTAACCGTACAATGTGGCACGCACATTCCGAAGGTTGTCCATCTCCATCGCACATATACCAATTGTAATAAAGCATTCCTCTCCTCTTCGCTCTTTTTAGCATATGTGATCGAGTCGTAGCATGAGCACTGCTCACGCATCTGTGAGCTGAGAGGCGGTATGGGGATGTGGTTGAGAAGAGAAAGCGACGATCGTGACGTCATCTGCCATAAGGCACCACGCCAGATGAGATTGAGATAAAATCAGAATTGGATGAGGGGTCGACTGTTCTAGCCGCGTTCGGTTCACCATTGCATCATCTAAGAGTTGACCGTGACACAGTTGTCGCTATGCTTTATACCGACCTCCTCAGAATGGTTATACGTAAGTATTCCGTCCGTCAATCGAGTCACTGTGACTAATATCTCTACAATCCTACAATCCTGCGTCTGTCTCAGGTCGGATGGATGCAATGATTTCACCATGTGTGCCTCTCTCTTCGTTCGTCTATCCTCCAAAATGCCTATGCCTGGACCACTCAATTAACAGCCACATCCAACTCACTCGAGATCCCAACTTGGAGATTCCCACTTGTATCCATTGTTGATCATGCAGCTATCTGTTCTTGCACGGCATTAATGGGGTAGTGGTAACCTGGGTCGTTGCCATCCTCAACAATGAGCAAATTCATTTCACTCGACCCGCCGGGGGTTCGATTCCCTCTTAATGCACAACTGTCTACAGCTTGTCTACAGCAATACTTTTTCGTCTGGTACCAGCTTCCGGCTGGGAGCTTTATCCTAGCCTAGGATATCCTGTCACTATATTGGACACTCATGAAAGGTATGTTAGCATCTGCACATTATCGTCGATGGTGGTGTGGAGGAACACTTTTCAACTTTTTGATAGCGTCCATCAAAAGAGCCGAAAAAGCGGCAAATAAAATGCACATTTGCTAACGAGTTAGTTTCACCAGACTTCCTTTTACATCCGCATGGAGCGACAGATATTCTTAGTGACCAACTATGATCTTCCGCCCACATAAATGATATATCGAAGCAGCTGTTATGTACCTGTGCAAGGTCAACGCAGTGCGCAATGCTACATTCAACATAGCTATCCATGGAGTCCGATGTATTCATCCAGGCACATTAGTCTGATATCACACCCTACTTCGCCACACTTCTGCCGCCCATGTAATGGTTTGATGTGTCGACCAAGTATATCCACCATCCATCCGCTGCCACAGGTATCTGGGATTTTTTCACCACGCCTGAGTGCTATGTGGAGGCATTATTTGACATGTACCTCACCCTGACAACCCCACAACGCGTCTACGGAGCAGTGGTAACCTGGAGACTTGTGTCAGGGTCACCAAGATTGTCATTCTATCTCGCCGGGGTTTGATTCGGAATGAATGTGTACTTCACGTCGTCCTCCCTTTTCTCCTAGCGTCCTTCTTTGCGCTTCCAAAAGTCTCCCAACGGGAGACTTTCCTTGAATCGACACTCATAAGTGCCTCCTACTGTCCCGCGGGTTTGAGTTCCCCAATAGCAAATATTTCCGTTTTCAGTGATCATTTTTGGGCACTCCACGAGTCTTACGCTTTTGTTCGCGCTATTCAACACCTCAACCTGAATAAGAAGGGACCACTAATACTCGTAATCTCTGCTCTTCCACGAATAAAGATAGCTCCAGGGACTACGAACTTCAACCGCTTTTGTGTACAACACCAGAGTACAGACCATGCGGATGTTACCTATTTCAACGCCAGGACCAGTGGACACCGATACCTTCGATCGATGCACAAGAATCTCCTTAACACATTCCGACGCCTAACTTGTTATGGGGACCAGGTATGTGCAGCTTGAGTCTTTGTTTGAGTTTTAGTTCTCATGTGTGGCTGTACTATGTAATTCGTTTGTGTGGCGGATGCAGCATATGAAGGACCATACGTGCTGTCCCCTTCAAGGCTTTGACCCGTGGTATGATAGTATTTCCAATGTCGAGACGATTCCGGAACTTCCCATGAAGACAGCAGGAATCGAGATGTGAGTGGTGGTCCATAACAAAGAAATTCTTTTCCCTCTCCCGTGCCACGGAGGTCGCATAAGTCAGCTCCCAGGAGTCTATCGGCAGGTGTGGATGGGGGTGGTCGTGGGGGCTGTGTGACACATCGGGATCGTGATCCATGGGTACAAAGAATGCATTATTCCGTCGCGAAGAATGCATTGAAAGATCTCCGCAAGCTTGTTTGGCGATACAAGCTAACTGAAAAGCGGACTTATTACTTGACACATCGACAAGATGTGGCTTTTAGGATATAAGACTCACATTCGATCAGCTTTATGGCTTCATCTTCAGATCTTCGCTTCCTGTAAAACCACGCGAATTCTAAATGCTTCAATCCAAACAAGCCGACGTCGTTCAGGGAGGGGTGCTGTTCAAAGGCCCGGACGCCAAAGGCCTTGCTTTGCGATTGTGCTTCGTCGACGCTGGAGGTTGACCACTGCAAGCAGAACGTCTCTAGTGTCCTGGGAAGACAATCGATGGGAAAGGTATCTAGAAAACCCTGAGGAGGCAGAAGATTAGGGAGAGGGTAGCGGACACAAACATGAAGGCACCCACGTCTGGGGTGGATAGCTCTGTAATGCGCGAAGTGCGAGGTGCGAGGTGCAGGGTTCTCAGTTCACCGAAGGTGTCGCATAGTCTTCGAAGGATAGGGTGGTTCAAACGGTTCAGACAGGCTTTCAATACCTGAACATCTCGAAAACTTGGCGCGTGGAGGTTAGATATCTCGAGTAAACGGTCAGGATTGCAGCCCAGGCGATCCGTATCCTTCAATGTCAGTTTCTCGAAATGAATCCCTGGGGTGTCCAAGCGGCAAAGCAACCTATACGGTCCATCGTACACTCGGAGCTTTGGGACTGAGACGGCAATATTGAGTCGAGAAGTGTTGATTTCGTCAACCTCGTCTGAGTCAGAGACAGTGAGGGTGGCCAAATTTGGGAAGTGCCGCAGTATGACGGGGAGCTGCTGCACCATGGGCCCCGACAAGTCGATTGTGAGGCAGGTCACCAGTGGGAAACGGCGAGATGGGGAAGTGACTGCGAAGAAGGCGTCGGCAGCTGTATCTGGACGGAGTGTGACACTCGATAAACAGTCGGTATCCAGGATCCACAACCACCTATGTGGCCCGTCCATCGACAGCTGGGGAGGCCGAGCCTCACATTGGATATGGAATCGCCGGGTGGAGATGACGTGCAGTGGCGAGCACGGCGATATTAGATGACAGACATTGATTTTTAGATCGTGGATATTGGGTAGGAGGCTGAGTTGTTCTAACGCTGACGACGTGAATCCCAGTCCCGTGAATTCAAGCTTCTGCACGTTGAACAGGCAGGGAAGCAGCGCAAAAAATGGCTGCAGGAGGTCGCTCGTGCTGCGTGCCTCAGGCTCCATGATAGGATGGCCATTCCAAGAACTGATCTCACGAGGTACAACACGGCAGGTACGTACATGAGGACATATCAGCTCCGAGGTGAAGAATCTCAACTTTGCAAATTCGTCCTTGTGTTCTTGTTGTGGGAGGGGGGAACAGTATGCTCCGGCACTCCCGCGAAACCGGATTTTGTTCATATAAAGTCCGTAAGGCGTGAACGAGAACGTGCGGAAGAGATGAGGGACGGCAAGAGAACGAAGCCCCTGACTGGTGAGTGATAATGCGGCCAGATCTTCGGGCGGTAAAATCTTTAGCAGTTCACCCCAAACATCGCGAGGGATCAATCCTTCGTCGAAAGTCGGCTTCATATTTGGCAAATACAAGCAATTGCTGCAGAGGCTGGTCAGCACAGTCACTGTGATCAAGGTTCCACTCACCTCAACACGCCGCGAATGCTAGAGACTGTAGCTCCAATCCCAAATCACTCTTGAGATGATGAGGGTGAACGGGAAGAGACATCAGATCGGCCACAGCCACGGGCAGTGGCCGTTATGACAATTTTGGATTGTTGTAGACCACGTGCAGTGTATGTCAGTCTCCGTCAAGTCATTCGACAACCATCATGCATCATGTCGAGTTAAGAATAGACCAGCCACTGCGCGATTTAGTGTCAAGGACGAACGCGATATTCCGTGCAAGTTAATTTACTAGACGTGATATAGCACGACAAGTTCACCTAGATGCACAATTTGCTTACGAACAAAGATTTCCTCAAAAAACGCGTGCCTCACACGGAAATATGCCGTTTCTGTCCTGAGTCTGTGGGGTATGGGGCGAACGCACACTATCGGCCATCACATCCCTCCGACACTCGCCACCCTCACCTGGCCCCCTAGTTTCCCCTCTATTTAAGTCTGTGGGGTACACATGCCGTGATTTTGTGTTTCTGTCCCATCGTTCAGGAGAACGTACCCGCTTAGGGTGGCAGGCGTTAGAGCATACACTCAAAATACACAGCCAGTGATCACACAGGGCACACGAGCCGTGGTACCTAGCCACCAGAGGCCTAAGATCCGGAGTGATATACAAATATACACGATACGATTAATCTTCGACACATGTCAGTGCCATCATCAACGAAGGGACAGCTCCGACGACGCACTCTTCGAAATTTGCATGATCTCATCGATGACGGGCAGGAGCGTCGTCGCATGTCGCTGTAGAAGAAGTATCCTCTCCCTCTGCGCCGGCTCAAGCTCCCCCTCAAGCGTCCTCTCCATTGCCACAATGATCCCCTCCACCGGCGTCCTATCACACACGTACATCAGCCATTTCCAGTCCTCATGTCACCCCAATTCCGAGTCGACTCACCTAATCTCCCCGGACACATCCACCAGCTCTTCGCGCGTACGCCCAAGTGCGCTCTCCGCCACCTGTCTTGCAATACAATCCCTCTCAATCGACGCTCTCAAATTATACATCATCTGAGTGACCTGTGTCTTCAAGGAACCCATCTCCCCGCTTTCCTTGTCCGTGGGGAACAGCGTGAAGTCGTGGTTCAGCGCTGCGGCTGTGATCTGGGCGAAGCCTCGCAATTGGATGAATATAATTTCAGCTAGGGTGTTCACCGATACCCTTTACAATACACAATTGATGTTAGCCTTGCGAACGACAGGAGCGAAAGGGAAGAAGGATTTGAAAGGAAGAACGGAACGTACATGATCTCCTGCCAGATGCCCTGCGCGTTCCCGACCGCAGCCCGCACCCCAAGCTTCCCCTCCGTGCACACCTCCCTAGCGACCTTCGTTATCTCAGAGGCGACGATCGCGAGCTGGTCGATCATCTGGTTCGTGCTATCGACGGAGGAGCGCATCTCGCCATTCACCGCCACCCCCGATATCTGCCGTGGTATCTCGCCTCGCGCGAGGGCGCTGGTTATTGCACCGACCGAGCGTGTTTGGAGCGTGAGCTATTAGTATAAGTCGATTGCATGTGTCAGCCCTATAGGAAGAAGAGGAGGGGAGGAGGGAAACGCACACTATCAGCCATCACATTAACACCCATCACCAGATCCCTCCACTTCCACCCAACACCCGCCGACCTCACCTGGCCCCCAAGTCTCCCCTCCCCCCCAACCTCCCTCGCGACCATAGTGAGTTCGTCCACAAAGTCACTAAAGAACTTAGTCATGCCGTTGACGACCTCCTTGAGCTCGAGCAGCTCGGGCCCCGAGCGTCCTACTCGATCTTAATCGTGAAATCCCCACCAACGAAGGCATTGGCTACTTTA